TTTCATACAAAATTAATTTATAATCTGTAAACATTAAATTTTTATGTGTCTTTATTTTAACGTAGAATCTAATATATCAAACCAAGTAACATTAAGAATTAAAAAATTAACTAGAGGTAAGCTATTGCTATTGCTTGATGGTTGGTGTCTTGATTGCTCATTTAGAATTATTAGACGTTTAGGCCTCCTATAAAAAGAAAATAGTAAATAAAAATATCCGGACGAACACAAAGAATTCTTTATCATGTTGCAATGCTTAAAAGTTGTTAATATATATAGAAAGATTGGTAAATGTTCTCTTTAATTCCCCTTAAGTGCTCCCTTTTATATATTGAGATGGCGAGGGATGAGAGGCATGACCCTTGGAATTTTAAAAAATTTTACTTTTTGGTTCTAAAATTTTGAAAAAAAAATTAATTACACCATATAAATTAAGAATTAAATTTCTTTGAATTAGTATATAAGTAAAAGAAAATAATCCTTAATTTGTATGGTGTAATTAATTTTTTTCAAGCTTAAGAGTTGACATATTTTAGCCAAAAAAAAAAAACAATAATAATAATAATTACAAAGACCCCTAAAAGAAATAGGTATGGTTTTTATTATTCTTAGATCTGTTCACACACTCACAACATTTTTGTTATTTTAAATTTTTTTATGCATTTATTCCGCCCACATTTCGTTCACCCCTCTACTAATTTTAAGGTTTTGTTTTTTCATGCACTCTATACGTAAAGTTTTGCTATGTTGTTTTTTTGTCCTTAATTTTTTTAATAATTTTTATTTCGATTTGCAACTTTATTTGCATTATAATCTAGTTACTAATTACTAAGAAGAGAGAGGAACGAAGAGAGATGAGGGATGAGAGAAAAATCTATGTATAATTTTTTTAATGATTTTTTAGAATATTATTATTTGTCCTTTAAAAAAAATTAATATAATTTATATGATGATTTTTTTATTCTTAAATGATAATAGCATGGTTATATATATATATATATATATATCTAAAGATTAAAAGTATTTGTTAGAAATTATAAGAAAAGTTTTTTAGCTAAAAGTCCATAAATTTTAGAATTTTTATTACAAGTTGCAGAAAATTTATAAAAAACATAATAAATATTTCGTTAAATATAAAATTAAAAAAATAATCACCTCGTTTTTACCTTTTATTTGATATATTTAAGTAACTAATAATATAATACATATAATCAAATTAAAATTATTTTTTAAAATAAAATTTAATAAGTTTTATCCAAAACTTAATGTGAGTAAAAACTAGTTAAACTCTAAGCAGAGCCTATTGCTCTCTTGGCAACGAATTAATTGCTCGAACAGATGGTCCTGGTTCATGAACTTGCTATTTTCGTTGTGCGGTTCCACTTTTGGTTCTTGTGTTTGTTGTTGAGGTGGGGAAGTTGACGAGACTCTTTTGAATCAAGTACTGTCAGCTCTTGTGGTGCGACCCAATAAAAACATAAACTTTTTGAAATTGTTCACCGCCATATCAGTAACAAATATGTTTTTATACATGCTATGATTGAAGCTTGAAGAGGCTGTTGGTAACTCTTGGTAGTATTGTGGTTGTTCAGGTCAATTATTTAGACTAAGTATTACACAAAAATGTGTAGACTGAAGGAAAAAAGTCCACGTCATATTAATTATTTTTAATTTAATATTTATGTAGCAAAAAATACCATGTTTAAGGAATTAAGTTTAAAATTACTTTGTTTAGATAAATAAGTTTTGAAAATATCCCGGTTAGGGAAAAAAATTCGAATTTATTCATTGCTTTCCTCGGACATATAGAAGTATTTCATCCTCTCTCCTCTCTTTTCTAAGGATATCAGGGCATTAATAAAATACATATTAATAATGTTTGAATAAATTTATTTTTATAACTTCACTTAATAATTTAAATCTTTGAATTAATGGAGTAAAGTCGCGAAAAAAATATTTTCAAACAAATGGTCATGGATTCATCTCCAAATAACTTTTAAGATTTTAGATCTTTGATGGGATCATACAATGCTTGCAAATTGCTCAGTGACGGGCCTACCTCTTGAGAGGAGGCCGAGTTTAGAAAATTGATCAATTATACCCTTAAGTTGAGAGTTTTTATATTTCGAGAGTAACATTTTAATTAAATGATCACAATACGTTACAAAATACATTTTAATTTGGTATTAATTTTTTTTATTCATTGAAAGTATATGGGATTTTAAGCTACACAATGTAGAGTAATTTTCTCTCATTAAATAATTATATAAAAAAGTTTAAAATTACTAGAATTCGCACTTTATTTTAATGCAGAAAAAGTTAATGGGATATGCAAACATTAAATTAAATCTAGTTGTGCTATTAATTTTGCTTTTTCTATTCATAAAATATGCGTACGTAATCATTTTGTGAAATACTGAACAATCTATGATTTGAAAGAATTTTAATTTTTAGAAAATCAATTATGAATACGTTTAAATTATATATCCTGATTACATACTACTAATTTATATGCATGAGATTGACATATACTCGCTGGGGAATTATATTTATCCCATCGAGAATTTACAAATGGTATTCTTTTCGATGATATTACTAATTATATATGTGATCCTTAACTTTTATGTTTAATTTAGATTTTTTTTTCATATTTACATTATGTTTTTGATTTATTAATTCAGTTATCATTACATATTATGGATATTCTGCTCTAAGGAGCTCAAAAAAAAAAAAAAAGTTTCTTGTTCTAAACTTGTTATATCTTTTTTTTTTTTTTTTTTTGGGTGTTGCAGGGCATTTTCATCATAACAGGTGAAAAAGAAGAAAGGGTATATTAGAGAATAATTGAAAATACATAATTTCAATTAATTGATTCTTTTTAACGGGTACGTATATAGACTAATTATGCTCATGTTCATGTTTTTCTATCCTGATTCCCGTTTAAAAAATTGCAGTTTTACCCGTAAAATTGATAACGATTAAATACTTGCATTGAATTAGATGAAAAATTGTTTTGTTCAGGAACAGAAGTTAACAATCATTAAAATTATCTAATATATTTTTGTAACGTGATTGGTTTGGTTTAAACGAATAAGGTAAATGCATGATGGATTTTTATTATGAAAAATAAATAATTAATTAATTATGGAATTATATTTTACCATTTATTACTCCACACATCAGTTTATATGAAATTTAATACAAAAAATTTATTTATAAATCATTTTCCCATAATAATTTCTAGGAACAAAAACCTGAACTTGAAGTCGGCACTTTTGCTTCATAGAAAATACCCCAGGACTACGCGGATCTTGTAGTTAAACTATCTGTCTAATTCCTCGATTCCCCAAGAAATAAAAAGACTAAACTGACAGCAGAATCTGGAAACTGCCTTAACATGTCAATTTGCTATTTTTTTTAACCGCTAAAGTAAAATTACAAGGTGCCTCCAGCCTCATACATAAAAGCATAATAAAATTATGAGGAAGTAGTGGCCGTAGCCAGTGAACATATAGCAATGTGGGTAGTACTGTATATTTTAATTACTCTACCAAAGATCAGAGTTAATTAAGGTCAGGACTGCGCAAGAATCATGATGGTATTAGGGAGGAGGAGAAGATCCCTTGAAAGACTACAAAATCTATATGTTCTCCAAACTATGCTTTGCTTTTCCCTTCTTTTTTCCATTGAAACTGAGCTGCCCACCACATGGCTCCTGCACCTTATGCTTCCATCTCTCTCTCTCTCTGATCTCTCTGACAGACACTGTTAACGGTTTCTCTCTTTATTTACTTGTTTATTTTTAAAGACAAAAAATAAGGTGAGAGAATAAGAAGCACAGCATGCAAGGGCTAGCCCTCGGGAATAAAGCATGGTCATTTCTATGCTTTGAGACTGAGATGTAACTTGGAGTCCCACATGGAGCCCTGTTGTCCTGTTTCTCTTGGAATTTTCACATTCTCCCCAACAATTGAATAGTCAGTCTCATTCCCATTCAAAAAAGCAGCAACACCCAATGGCTCACTACCTCACAACCTTTCATGTCTCCAAGCTGCAGATTCTTTACGATATTTGTACTCCTAAATACATACTTCTATGCAGGAAATAGGCGTCCTACCTCATTTTTGTGTGCTTATACTATCAAACATGATCTGTTTATACTAAATAATTTATCCAAAGATTTATGCGTTTTAACCAGTAGTATAAAATTTTGATATATTTTACCCTTAAATAAATAGTCACATTTTGCTTGATTGGAACCTTTTTAATTTGGCGTATATAGAGACATCCCATCAGCAAAAGCAAGCGTAGATTGCTGTGATATGCACCATTGGATCTAGCTAGGTATGGATTGAATGTTGTTTTTTAGGAGCACCATAATAAGTACTCCCTCGTCAAAGTCCTCGGCCATAACTTGTATGGCCAATGTGTTCACATACCATACAATATATATATAACAATATGCTAAATACAAGAAAGTAAACTGGAAGTGGGATTTGTTGTGTGACTGCTTTGGGTCTTGGGCTCTAGGGATTCCCTCTATATATCTATGGATATCTATCTATCAGCAAAGGAATGTTACGTAGTGATGTTGGAATGTGTAGTCTCTCATATGTTAAAATGTTCTTTCTTGAACAACTCAAAGATTCATCTCTAGCTCTACTTTACCTCCCTGTCCTTTTCTTGGATTTTGAATATATTGTATGTCCCTCCATATATTCTTTTACACATTCTTCTTTCCTTTTTCTTTTAATAATTTGATTAAAAAAATCATCTACCCAAATTCGATTTTAGACCAGACCCCATCACGTGAAATTCTGACTCATTAAATCACATAAATTCTCATGTTTGCTAATTAATCACACAAATACTCCTCTCTCTCTCTCTCTCTCTCTCTCTATGTATGCGACAATATTTGTACCCCCATCAAGAAAGACTCACGTAGCCACCTGCTCTTTGTCTGTTTACTCTTTGTTTCGACGATTCCTTTGAGAGAAGAAATGTTAGGCAACTGTGAGAAGATGGCTGTCATCTCTTCAACTCCTAACGAATGGCCACAGGTTCTTTACCTCTCTCTCTCTCTCTCTCTCTCTCTCTCTCTCTCTCAATTATTACACAAAACATGACCCATTTTTTGTTTCTTAGCTTTTGGAAGAGAATATCTATCCTGTGTTGTTATTTTTACACTAATAAAAACACCAATCTTGATGTCTTTCTTTTTTTCTTTTCTTTTCTTTCCTTTTCTCGTTGGTGCAGAATCAGATAGATGAGAAGAGCCTGATGGCATCAACAAGTAAACTAATGGAGAGACCAAGCCAAGAAGTACTTTCACAACCACAACAGCAGCAGCAGCAACCAGCTCTCAAGTGTCCCCGCTGTGACTCCTCAAACACCAAGTTCTGTTACTATAACAACTACAGCTTATCTCAGCCAAGACACTTTTGCAAGGCTTGTAAGAGATACTGGACAAGAGGTGGTACTTTAAGGAATGTTCCTGTTGGTGGTGGATGTAGAAAGAACAAGCGTGTCAAGAGGCCAGCCTCAGCCGTTGAAGGAGCTAATAATTCAGTTTCTAGTGCGAACCCTAACCCTCAAACCCCAATTGACCATATTTCTTCAACTTCAAATCATATCAACCCTTTGTTTTATGGGCTAACTAGCAGTAACCCATCAGACATGAACCTTCCATTTCCTGGTAGGTTCAATTCAAGGGTGGATTCAGCTGTTTCTGGGTATCACGATCTCCAGCCTCAGTTAAATGCTCTTGCATTAGGGTTTTCATCAGGAATCATGAGTGATGCTAATGGGTTTAACCCTACTAAGCAAATCCAAGATGTGGTCACTTCAAATTCTCTTCTTTCAAGTTATTCCAATCTCTTTGGCTCCTCCACAACTGCCACCAACACAACTTCTCCAACTATAGCTTCTTTGCTTGCCTCTAGCTTTAACCAGCAAAAGAGTACTAGAGCTCCTAACCACTATCAAAGCTTGACAGTCCCCTTTGAGGATTTGCAAATGAGTGTCAATAGTGAATCTGGGATTGGTATGAGAGGGGTGAAAATTGAGCATGATCAAAATAGGATGGACTGGAATGTGCCATGCCAGGATCAGATAGAGCAAGTTGGCTTCTCAGATCCTTCAATGTATTGGAACACTACCACAAGTGTGGGTTCATGGCATGATCCAGCTAATATGGGGTCCTCAGTACTTCTTTGATCTAGCTCCACCAAGGCCAAAAAAAAAAAAAAAAAAAAACATTTCTTTCATTTTAGTTATCTCCCTCTTTGTTAGTGATCTTCGATCTCTTCGTTTAGCTAGCTACTTAGTGTTTTTTTTTTTTTTCCTGTTTGTAGTGGAGTTTATGGTACTTAAATTGGGGATGGAATATGGATTTCTCTTAACAAGGGTATAAGATTGGGGTGGAAGGAAATTAGAGATGAGAGGAGCTTGGATCAGAGAGATCATATCAGCTGCAAGATCAGCCTATTGGTTTTATTTTCAAGGTTGACAAATCCCATTTGCACTGAGAAGAACCTCGGATCCTCTTCCCTCTCATCAACTCAGCTATCGTAATCATGATCATCATCACCATCATTATCATCTACACTGCACAGTACTGTTGAAGAAAGGATCAACTGCTATTCGGTGCAACTTTCTAGCTAGTGCCAGTAAGTTCGTCTTTCCTTAATTTGTATGTATATATGCATGACAAGTCCCTTTAATTTTCTTTGCTTTTTTTTTTTTTTTCCTTTTAAGCTAATGTACTAGTACTTGCTATTAGGTTGGGGTGATGGGGTATATGTTTCAGTCCTCAATCAATATCAGATGAGGCACTGAAGATCATTTCTTTCTTCTTTTTAATTTTTTTTTTGTCTTTTATACTTTCTTTTTAGGATAAAAAGGGGGTTGGGTATAATGGTATAGGAAAAGGGGGAGATTTTGCTATTGTAATGCTGGGATTTTGGTTATGTGATTGGTCTTTAATTTGGGTTATATGTTCTGTTGACTTTGATGTATTTGATGTTATTAAGGCACTGTGTGTGGATTTGGAAATTTCAAATGCTAATAGTTTCAATTTTTGAGCCTTGAATATGAACTACATTGCTCAACTATGGATACACGCGCATTGTCAATTGCAGATAGTTGATATGCCTGCATAGTGTTAGAACTGTAGCCACATTATATGTAAATTCAGAATTGCTCTAAATAGGAATGTACAAGGACTAGATGCATGCTACATCCAGTTTCATGTTGACTTGGATAGTTGGATTTCTGTATATTGGCTGTAGTGCTTGAACTCTCGACAGAGAAATGTATCTTTTATAAAGTCAACTATAGGGAAGTTATTTTCAAAATTATATATGATTCAAATGTAGTAGTTAATGATGAGGGTTTGGTGCAGTTATAAAAAGGAATTCGGCTACTAAAAATTAAATGCAAAGGATCAAGTTTTGTCGATGGTATAATGGTGGAACTATTGCTCTAGGTTAGGCATAGCATTCATAACATCATGCCCGAATCTTGCTTAAGGCAGAAATATAGCATTGTCTACCTCACTCTCTAAGGTTTCTCCATCATTCTACATTTTACTCAGCTTTTTTTTTGTATTTACAATTGTAATGTCAATTTTGGGTGGCAGTAGTTGGGAGATCATGAAGTGATAGTAGTGATTAAAGTTTAGGTCTAATAATAATTAGGAAGTTATGAAAGAATTAATAATTACAAACTGGAGGACTTAATTCTACTATAGCATAGAGCTCTATGTTTAGTCATCTCTATTACTCTCTGATCGCCTAGGGTTTTTGAGCAACTGCCCTTCTCGTAAAGGCATCCCATACTTCCGACTTGAGGAAGTTTGAGTAAGTCTTCGTTTACAAATGCTGTTTGACCGTAATATGTGCTTTGCTTGAGATGTACCATGCTATGCTATAGAGGTGTTCATGGGCTGGGATCTTGGCTTTGGATTTGTCAAATTTGCATAATTGACCCGTGGCCCAACCCATGTACAAATTCATTTTGAAACGAAGAAAATACGTAACTGATAATTAACATTCAGCTGAGAGCATTAATGGTACGGTCCAAATGTGCAGCTTGGGAAATGTTACTAGCTAGAGAGTTCACTTCCTCTTGGAATGGTCATTTTGGGCCTTATTGTCGGGTGGCTGCTTTTGGATAATACATTTGCAATCAGTGGAAGATAAGCACCTTCCTCCTTTTTTTGTTTTTTTTTTCCCCTTTTCTTCTAAAATTTTTTTAGAGCTTTTATGGGTACCAATTACCGTGTTTATGGACAAAAAACACTGTATCATCTCGAGCAACTGCAGCTGCGTGACGAGAATATATACAACGACATCAATGTTGAATTTATTTATTATTAGGCGAATAAGATTCGATATATTAACCCGATCAATGTTGATAGTTAAAAATAGCTTCAAATTGAAATTCATTCATCAAAAAAAAAAAAAACTTCCAATATGGGAGAAAAAATGAAACTGTATTTCTGGGAGCAAAAATGAGTAGAATGGCCATTAAGTTAGTATATATAGTACGTAGATGGAAAGAACGGCAGGAATAATTAAAAGGAGTACATGTGTTAAGGGCAGGTGCAGTTGTTGGTGGATAGATGGTGGTGATGGACCTGAAGGGTGAAAGTGTTCGAAGATGATAATGACAGCATATAGTAGCCAAGTGACATGGAGAGGGATGGAAAACTGTCGATGGCCTTGGGACAGCCAATACTTTATTTGTAGCAGTAGTGTCCCAACTGGCAGACACTACCGGGTTTAGTTGATGCTGTACTGGTGTATCATTATGGCGCTGTTGATTGCTTTTGAGTTAATAATTTCTCCTACTTAAGAGGCCTATGGTGCTTGGCTGCTGAGAGTTAAGGCGGTAATGAGCTAATACTGTTCGGCATAGACTATGGTTTTTTGAACTTGGGGAAATTTCATTAAAATGCAATAGCCGAATATATCCTAAAATATAAATTATATTGATCAAGATCTTAGTTAAAGCAACTTGATTCGCATATCTTAAATATTTCATTGAACATCGAAAAATCTTTGACTTATAGGTTGTAGAAGAGAAGAGAGACGGTAATGGAATAGAAAGAGTTATGTAATCAATCACGTTCATCAAGATTTTTTGAAATTTAATAATATAGGATAGAATCAACCGGACTAATGATAAAATAACAAATTTCGACAAACGAAAGATAAATATAACTTTCGAGAAACGAAATACAATACAATACAACCAAATGAAACAACAACCTAAAAACATAGGCTATAGTATTGAAACAGTGATATTTGTGATGGTACAGATGGCAGATAATTTTTTCTTTCCTTTTTGCTTTATGATAGTAATCTAATTCCAAGCAGTACTTAACAATAGGATGCAGATAATTTTGGCTCTAGGGAGATTTTTAATTGATAGAGTGGCCCATAGACCGGCAGTGGAAGGCTATGAAACGAAGAGAAGCTGAATTAGAGAAAGCAGCGAGGAGTACTAAAGTATTTTGATGAGAAAAGAAATGAGGAAGAGAAGCTATCAAAATCATTGGGTTAATAATTCGTGGGCTATATAATGCCTATACTATACTGATGCTTACTGTTTGAGCCACCTAACCTAAGAAAGGAATCAGCAGCTGCCCAGTGCCCACCCCCATTGCCTCCTATCTTCCTTGCATATCGATCTATGCATATCCTTTCACTAGCTAGCAAGGACGGTTCACTTGCAGCATGCGCGAGGAGGTATCAGTGTGGGGGGCCAAATTAATCCTCCTTAACTGAAATTTCCACGAGATCACTAAGGTTCAGATCTTAACTGATGTTGATACTTCATCCTATTCTACTCATCTCTCTCTTTCACCAGCCATGAACGCTCAACCTCTTAAGATATGTGTCAAACACAAACCAACAAGCTACAAGGAATTAGGCCGGTGTTGATAGTTGATCTCCCCTTGTCAGATACACGATAACAATTTATTAGGGGAAATTTTGGGATTAATTTGTGAACTCATCGTGTTATTATCTTGAATTCAAATATATAGCTAGAAAGATTCAACAAATAAATTCTTATGAATACATATATTAACTACCAATGCTAAGCACGGTCTGACATTGATTTGATTCGAAAAATAATAGATTTAATTTTGACGATACGAAAACTGATCAAATAATATTTTATTACTTGTAAATATATAAATAATAATAATAGTGCATTTAAAATTGGCAATGATATGAATTAGTTTAGATATGCAAAAACAAGTTAGGATGCTAAAATCAAAACAGGATCCATATATAATTGATTCAAAACTAAATAAAACACATGGTTGGAGATCTTCATTAATCTCAAAAGGCGTTAATCATGTTAACTTTAATTAACTTCCATGTCTACTAAACTTTTCTTAGTTCATCAGCAATTCTAATAGGTTCTAAGCTACATAAAAAGGTAGCTTTTCTAATAAATTATTATTGGAAAAAATATAATTATTGGTATTCAACCTTACCTCAGAATAAAAAATTACCAAATACATAACTATTTTGGGATTGGCTTTGTTAATCGATTCACAATCTTTCGAATACAGTCAATATCTATTCGAATGGATTTGTGTCCATAGTATACTTCTTAACAAGTCAAGAATCTCGTTGGGAAAATCTTACACCACACTTACGTTTATGTTCCACATTCACTAGTTAAAACTGAACTAGAAAAGATAACAAAATTCAGCTAAACGAATTCATAAGGAAAAAAAAAAAAAGAATTAAGTAAAAACTCTTTGTGCAGTTGATTTACTTTCTCAGCAAGTCATTTTTTTTTAATAAAAAAAATAGTAGTTTGGGGTCAAACTAGACCAAATTAATAATTCAGACTTTATTTAATTTGCTTTAATACTAATTGTTTGACCATTAAATCCTAAAACAATAGGAGGGTTGCAAATTAGGATTCAAATTAGATTGGTAGTGATCGCATTCATTCAATGTCTTTGATCAGCATGTTTAAAACTCTTGTCTGAGGACTGGTTGGTTTGCAACAGGATTTTATTTACATCTTTTTCTGACCTCCACTTGGGTTTTCTTGGAATAACACACTTCGATAATAAGATTTAAAAATCTAGAAAAAATATTTTATAAATTCTGATTTTTGGTTTACATATATTTTTAAACAGTTTTTAAAATTTTACTAAACACTTTTTGTATTAAAAAAAAAAAAAT